CTTCAGCTTACATGGAGTCTTGTCTCTAGCTAGCTTCAGCTTACATGGAGTCTCCTGTCTCTTGATAGCTTCAGCTTACATGGAGTCCTGTCTCTTGATAGCTTCAGCTTACATGGAGTCTTGTCTCTAGCTAGCTTCAGCTTACATGGAGTCCTGTCTCTAGCTAGCTTCAGCTTACATGGAGTCTCCTGTCTCTAGCTAGCTTCAGCTTACATGGAGTCCTGTCTCTTGATAGCTTCAGCTTACATGGAGTCTTGTCTCTAGATAGCTTCAGCTTACATGGAGTCTCCTGTATCTTGATAGCTTCAGCTTACATGGAGTCTCCTGTCTCTTGATAGCTTCAGCTTACATGGAGTCTCCTGTCTCTTGCTAGTGGGTGAACAAACAGTTAGTCCCGGAACAGAAATATGTGCACACAATAAATGCAAATGGCAGTTGCTAGAGATGCCACAGCCAACAGTCACCACCAGAAATGCAGTTTAGCTATATGCACGTATAGAATTATAACATAAGGTATTTCACCAACTACACATAAACCAGCTACCAGCCATAATGAATACGGCACAACTGCTGCACAAATGAAAGGCATTCCACAGGAAAAACACAGATCACAGGGCTACACCAAACACTAAACGCTTAGCAGCTCAGGCTGCAAAACCATACACTACTGTCCATATAAAGAAACTGCATCAGCAAAGCACCGTCGGAAGCTAAATAACTTTGAAGCTTAACATTCTGCCATACCTATGGCTCTTTTGGCCACCTTGGCCACAGACACACTGTGCTGTTGCCAAGTTTCTCCAATAATTGACCTTCTTGTTCTACCATGGTCTACCATGTGCTCGTCTCTTGTGCATGCCTCTGATGTTATGGCCTAACAAGACATTCTCACTTAGAGGGCAAACCATTTGATTTGTATCTCTGTATGCAAATTACAATTGGTTCTGTGCCAACTTTGTCTCTGATGACCTCATTCCAGATTTGATCTTTTTCTGGACACTCCTGCAACCTTTCTCAGACATCTCATTGTCCATGAAAGTTTGTTGTGAGTGGCCACGTCTTGCACTTGTAGCACTGGGTGAGGAAGAACATGCTTGCTATCAGATGTTTCTCTGTGCTGATTGAGACTGTCTTATGGAAAAGGGGAGGGGGAGAAGCTGTCTCAATACTTGGTTTGCTTTACTGAATAACTTCATCAAATCTACCATCTATCTTTTGATGCCTGTTTAATATCTTTACACTTTTCCGCTGTATGTAAGTGTTGCTTCTTTCTTCCTACTGATTTAACTGAAGTCTTTTCAGTGTTGATGTTATTAATATTTTAATTCCAGGGCTTGGCATTCTTGCATATAGTGTCGATGTCAGTGAAAGCAGTGGTAAGACACATCTACATTTAACTCATTCCATAATGAGCCATTACTTTCCATAATACCTGTCTATAGACTCTGTCTAATGCCTTTTTCTTTGTCCACAAGTAAGTTTTTATACTCAGTGAGTTTTTTATTACATGTATGGCAAAGAGTGCATCTGCGTGGCTTCTTTTCTTTATAAATATTTTTTTAAATCTGAAAGTCCATCTATTCTGCCAACTCTAGTTCCATCCCTGGTGTCAGCATTATTTCTATGATGGCATACATTTTAGCAACCTGACTTGAGAGATACCTTGGTGTTGACTGCATTCTTGCTTATGTTCTGCCACACTAGCACCACCAGTGCAAGTTGCCAGTTGGTAGCAGCAGTTTGTTGTACCAATGCTGTTTGAAAATTACACAGCTGATTACCTGGCATACATTGCTGTATCTTGCCATTAGCAGACTGCACAAAGAAGCCAACACAAAACTAAGTCCAACAATAAATCCCTGTAGCTGAAATATGCAATGCTCAGTCATTCAGAAACTGTAATTTGCAGTTCTGAACTTCTGTGTTGTATTTCAACCATGCTACTAAAGCACACTGAAACACCAACTCCTCAAATAACGATGAAGTCACTGGGGGTTATTACATGTGACATTCAAAATAACAGTGCAAGATTGCTGATTTAAAAAAAAAATGTTACATCAATAACAGCGTGTGTTGTATATTTGAGCTGACAGGATTCATTATTTGGCAGGCAAATTGCAAAACCATCTGGAAATCCATCAAGTCCTGCCACGAGGACTGGGCAGTTGCCAAGATAAAGATACTTGGGCAGATACTGTGAGCCTGGCTGACTGTGAGATACTTGGGCAGATACTGTGAGCCTGGGTGACTGTGAGATACTTGGACAGATACTATGAGCCTGGCTGACTGTGATACACTTGGACAGATACTTTGAGCCTGGCTCACTGTGAGATACTTGGGCAGATACTGTGAGCCTGGCTGACTGTGAGATACTTGGACAGATACTATAAGCCCGGCTGACTGTGAGATACTTGGACAGATACTGTGAGCCTGGCTAACTGTGAGATACTTGGACAGATACTATAAGCCCGGCTGACTGTGAGATACTTGGACAGATACTGTGAGCCTGGCTAACTGTGAGATACTTGGACAGATACTATAAGCCCGGCTGACTGTGAGATACTTGGACAGATACTGTGAGCCTGGCTAACTGTGAGATACTTGGACAGATACTATAAGCCCGGCTGACTGTGAGATACTTGGACAGATACTTTGAGCCTGGCTCACTGTGAGATACTTGGGCAGATACTGTGAGCCTGGCTGACTGTGAGATACTTGGACAGATACTGTGAGCCTGGCTGACTGTGGTCGATGTGAGGGGGTATCATGATAAGCAGGAAACTAGCAGCAGCTCTAGATCTAGAAGATGCCTACAAGGTCAGGTATGATGTCTGGGAAGATGCCTACAAGGTCAGGTATGATGTCTGGGAAGATGCCTACAACAAGGTCAGGTATGATGTCTGGGAAGATGCCTACAACAAGGTCAGGTATGATGTCTGGGAAGATGCCTACAAGGTCAGGTATGATTCTGGGAAGATGCCTACAACAAGGTTAGGTATGATGTCTGGGAAGATGCCTACAAGGTCAGGTATGATGTCTGGGAAGATGCCTACAACAAGGTCAGGTATGATGTCTGGGAAGATGCCTACAAGGTCAGGTATGATTCTGGGAAGATGCCTACAACAAGGTTAGGTATGATGTCTGGGAAGATGCCTACAACAAGGTTAGGTATGATGTCTGGGAAGATGCCTACAACAAGGTTAGGTATGATGTCTGGGAAGATGCCTACAAGGTCAGGTATGATGTCTGGGAAGATGCCTACAACAAAGGTTAGGTATGATGTCTGGGAAGATGCCTACAACAAGGTTAGGTATGATGTCTGGGAAGATGCCTACAACAAGGTTAGGTATGATGTCTGGGAAGATGCCTACAACAAGGTTAGGTATGATGTCTGGGAAGATGCCTACAAGGTCAGGTATGATGTCTGGGAAGATGCCTACAAGGTTATGTATGATGTCTGGGAAGATGCCTTCAACAAGGTTAGGTATGATGTCTGGGAAGATGCCTACAACAAGGTCAGGTATGATGTCTGGGAAGATGCCTACAACAAGGTTAGGTGTGATGTCTGGGAAGATGCCTACAACAAGGTTAGGTGTGATGTCTGGGAAGATGTCTACAACAAGGTTAGGTGTGATGTCTGGGAAGATGCCTACAACAAGGTTAGGTATGATGTCTGGGAAGATGTCTACAACAAGGTTAGGTATGATGTCTGGGAAGATGCCTACAACAAGGTAAGGTATGATGTCTGGGGAGATGCCTACAACAAGGTTAGGTGATGTCTGGGAAGATGCCTACAACAAGGTTAGGTGATGTCAGGGAAGATGCCTACAACAAGGTCAGGTATGATGTCTGGGAAGATGCCTACAACAAGGTTAGGTATGATGTCTGGGAAGATGCCTACAACAAGGTTAGGTGATGTCTGGGAAGATGCCTACAACAAGGTTAGGTGATGTCAGGGAAGATGCCTACAACAAGGTCAGGTATGATGTCTGGGAAGATGCCTAAAACAAGGTTAGGTGTGATGTCTGGGAAGATGTCTACAACAAGGTTAGGTATGATGTCTGGGAAGATGCCTACAACAAGGTTAGTTATGATGTCAGAGAAGATGCCTACAACAAAGGTTAGGTGTGATGTCTGGGAAGATGTCTACAACAAAGTCAGGTATGATGTCTGGGAAGATGCCTACAACAAGGTTAGGTATGATGTCTGGGAAGATGCCTACAACAAAGTTAGGTATGATGTCAGGGAAGATGCCTACAACAAGGTTAGGTATGATGTCAGGGAAGATGCCTACAACAAGGTTAGGTATGATGTCTGGGAAGATGCCTACAACAAGGTTAGGTATGATGTCTGGGAAGATGCCTACAACAAGGTTAGGTGATGTCTGGGAAGATGCCTACAACAAGGTTAGGTATGATGTCTGGGAAGATGCCTACAACAAGGTCAGGTATGATGTCTGGGAAGATGCCTACAACAAGGTTAGGTGTGATGTCTGGGAAGATGCCTACAACAAGGTTAGGTGTGATGTCTGGGAAGATGTCTACAACAAGGTTAGGTGTGATGTCAGGGAAGATGCCTACAACAAGGTAAGGTATGATGTCAGGGAAGATGCCTACAACAAGGTTAGGTATGATGTCTGGGAAGAGGCCTACAACAAGGTAAGGTATGATGTCAGGGAAGATGCCTACAACAAGGTTAGGTATGATGTCAGGGAAGATGCCTACAACAAGGTTAGGTATGATGTCTGGGAAGATGCCTACAACAAGGTTAGGTATGATGTCTGGGAAGATGCCTACAACAAGGTTAGGTGATGTCTGGGAAGATGCCTACAACAAGGTTAGGTGATGTCAGGGAAGATGCCTACAACAAGGTCAGGTATGATGTCTGGGAAGATGCCTACAACAAGGTTAGGTGTGATGTCTGGGAAGATGTCTACAACAAGGTTAGGTATGATGTCTGGGAAGATGCCTACAACAAGGTTAGTTATGATGTCAGAGAAGATGCCTACAACAAAGGTTAGGTGTGATGTCTGGGAAGATGTCTACAACAAAGTCAGGTATGATGTCTGGGAAGATGCCTACAACAAGGTTAGGTATGATGTCTGGGAAGATGCCTACAACAAAGTTAGGTATGATGTCTGGGAAGATGCCTACAACAAAGTTAGGTATGATGTCTGGGAAGATGCCTACACCAAAGTCAGGTATGATGTCTGGGAAGATGCCTACAACAAGTTTAGGTATGATGTCTGGGAAGACGCCTACAACAAGGTTAGGTATGATGTCTGGGAAGATGCCTACAACAAGGTTAGGTATGATGTCTGGGAAGATGCCTACAACAAGGTAAGGTATGATGTCTGGGAAGATGCCTACAACAAGGTAAGGTATGATGTCAGGGAAGATGCCTACAACAAGGTAAGGTATGATGTCAGGGAAGATGCCTACAACAAGGTTAGGTATGATGTCAGGGAAGATGCCTACAACAAGGTAAGGTATGATGTCAGGGAAGATGCCTACAACAAGGTTAGGTATGATGTCTGGGAAGAGGCCTACAACAAGGTAAGGTATGATGTCAGGGAAGATGCCTACAACAAGGTTAGGTATGATGTCAGGGAAGATGCCTACAACAAGGTTAGGTATGATGTCTGGGAAGATGCCTACAACAAGGTTAGGTATGATGTCTGGGAAGATGCCTACAACAAGGTTAGGTGATGTCTGGGAAGATGCCTACAACAAGGTTAGGTGATGTCAGGGAAGATGCCTACAACAAGGTCAGGTATGATGTCTGGGAAGATGCCTACAACAAGTTTAGGTATGATGTCTAGGAAGATGCCTACAACAAGGTTAGGTGTGATGTCTGGGAAGATGCCTACAACAAGGTCAGGTATGATGTCTTGGAAGATGCCTACATCAAGGTTAGGTATGATGTCTGGGAAGATGCCTACAACAAGGTCAGGTATGATGTCTGGGAAGATGCCTACAACAAGGTCAGGTATGATATCTGGGAAGATGCCTACAACAAAGTCAGGTATGATGTCTGGGAAGATGCCTACAACAAGGTCAGGTATGATGTCTGGGAAGATGCCTACAACAAGGTCAGGTGTGATGTCTGGGAAGATGCCTACAACAAGGTCAGGTATGATGTCTGGGAAGATGCCTACAACAAGGTTAGGTATGATGTCAGGGAAGATGCCTACAACAAGGTCAGGTATGATGTCTGGGAAGATGCCTACAACAAGGTTAGGTGTGATGTCTGGGAAGATGCCTACAACAAGGTTAGGTGTGATGTCTGGGAAGATGCCTACAACAAAGTCAGGTATGATGTCTGGGAAGATGCCTACAACAAGGTTAGGTGATGTCTGGGAAGATGCCTACAACAAGGTTAGGTGATGTCTGGGAAGATGCCTACAACAAGGTTAGGTATGATGTCTGACAAGATGCCTACAACAAAGGTCAGGTATGATGTCTGGGAAGATGCCTACAACAAAGGTTAGGTGATGTCTGGGAAGATGCCTACAACAAGGTCAGGTATGATGTCTGGGAAGATGCCTACAACAAAGTCAGGTATGATGTCTGGGAAGATGCCTACAACAAGGTTAGGTGATGTCTGGGAAGATGCCTACAACAAGGTTAGGTGATGTCTGGGAAGATGCCTACAACAAGGTTAGGTATGATGTCTGGGAAGATGCCTACAACAAAGGTCAGGTATGATGTCTGGGAAGATGCCTACAACAAAGGTTAGGTGATGTCTGGGAAGATGCCTACAACAAGGTCAGGTATGATGTCTGGGAAGATGCCTACAACAAGGTTAGGTATGATGTCTGGGAAGATGCCTACAACAAGGTCAGGTATGATGTCTAGGAAGATGCCTACAACAAGGTTAGGTGTGATGTCTGGGAAGATGCCTACAACAAGGTCAGGTATGATGTCTTGGAAGATGCCTACAACAAGGTCAGGTATGATGTCTGGGAAGATGCCTACAACAAGGTTAGGTATGATGTCTGGGAAGATGCCTACAACAAGGTCAGGTATGATGTCTGGGAAGATGCCTACAACAAGGTCAGGTATGATATCTGGGAAGATGCCTACAACAAAGTCAGGTATGATGTCTGGGAAGAGGCCTACAACAAGGTAAGGTATGATGTCAGGGAAGATGCCTACAACAAGGTTAGGTATGATGTCAGGGAAGATGCCTACAACAAGGTTAGGTATGATGTCTGGGAAGATGCCTACAACAAGGTTAGGTATGATGTCTGGGAAGATGCCTACAACAAGGTTAGGTGATGTCTGGGAAGATGCCTACAACAAGGTTAGGTGATGTCAGGGAAGATGTCTACAACAAGGTCAGGTATGATGTCTGGGAAGATGCCTACAACAAGGTTAGGTATGATGTCTGGGAAGATGCCTACAACAAGGTTAGGTGATGTCTGGGAAGATGCCTACAACAAGGTTAGGTGATGTCAGGGAAGATGCCTACAACAAGGTCAGGTATGATGTCTGGGAAGATGCCTACAACAAGTTTAGGTATGATGTCTGGGAAGATGCCTACAACAAGGTTAGGTGTGATGTCTGGGAAGATGCCTACAACAAGGTCAGGTATGATGTCTGGGAAGATGCCTACATCAAGGTTAGGTATGATGTCTGGGAAGATGCCTACAACAAGGTCAGGTATGATGTCTGGGAAGATGCCTACAACAAGGTCAGGTATGATATCTGGGAAGATGCCTACAACAAAGTCAGGTATGATGTCTGGGAAGATGCCTACAACAAGGTCAGGTATGATGTCTGGGAAGATGCCTACAACAAGGTCAGGTGTGATGTCTGGGAAGATGCCTACAACAAGGTCAGGTATGATGTCTGGGAAGATGCCTACAACAAGGTTAGGTATGATGTCAGGGAAGATGCCTACAACAAGGTCAGGTATGATGTCTGGGAAGATGCCTACAACAAGGTTAGGTGTGATGTCTGGGAAGATGCCTACAACAAAGTCAGGTATGATGTCTGGGAAGATGCCTACAACAAGGTTAGGTGATGTCTGGGAAGATACCTACAACAAGGTTAGGTGATGTCTGGGAAGATGCCTTCAACAAGGTTAGGTATGATGTCTGGGAAGATGCCTACAACAAAGGTCAGGTATGTTGTCTGGGAAGATGCCTACAACAAAGGTTAGGTGATGTCTGGGAAGATGCCTACAACAAGGTCAGGTATGATGTCTGGGAAGATGCCTACAACAAAGTCAGGTATGATGTCTGGGAAGATGCCTACAACAAGGTTAGGTGATGTCTGGGAAGATGCCTACAACAAGGTTAGGTGATGTCTGGGAAGATGCCTACAACAAGGTTAGGTATGATGTCTGGGAAGATGCCTACAACAAAGGTCAGGTATGATGTCTGGGAAGATGCCTACAACAAAGGTTAGGTGATGTCTGGGAAGATGCCTACAACAAGGTCAGGTATGATGTCTGGGAAGATGCCTACAACAAGGTTAGGTATGATGTCTGGGAAGATGCCTACAACAAGGTCAGGTATGATGTCTAGGAAGATGCCTACAACAAGGTTAGGTGTGATGTCTGGGAAGATGCCTACAACAAGGTTAGGTGTGATGTCTGGGAAGATGCCTACAACAAGGTTAGGTATGATGTCTGGTAAGATGCCTACAACAAGGTTAGGTATGATGTCAGGGAAGATGCCTACAACAAGGTAAGGTATGATGTCTGGGAAGATGCCTACAACAAGGTAAGTTATGATGTCTGGGAACATGCCTACAACAAGGTAAGGTATGATGTCTGGGAAGATGCCTACAACAAGGTTAGGTATGATGTCTGGGAAGATGCCTACAACAAGGTAAGGTATGATGTCTGGGAAGATGCCTACAACAAGGTGGGGTATGATGTCAGGGAAGATGCCTACAACAAGGTAAGGTATGATGTCAGGGAAGATGCCTACAACAAGGTTAGGTATGATGTCAGGGAAGATGCCTACAACAAGGTAAGGTATGATGTCAGGGAAGATGCCTACAACAAGGTTAGGTATGATGTCTGGGAAGAGGCCTACAACAAGGTAAGGTATAATGTCAGGGAAGATGCCTACAACAAAGTCAGGTATGATGTCAGGGAAGATGCCTACAACAAGGTTAGGTATGATGTCTGGGAAGATGCCTACAACAAGGTTAGGTATGATGTCTGGGAAGATGCCTACAACAAGGTTAGGTGATGTCTGGGAAGATGCCTACAACAAGGTTAGGTGATGTCAGGGAAGATGCCTACAACAAGGTCAGGTATGATGTCTGGGAAGATGCCTACAACAAGGTTAGGTATGATGTCTGGGAAGATGCCTACAACAAGGTTAGGTATGATGTCTGGGAAGATGCCTACAACAAGGTTAGGTGATGTCAGGGAAGATGCCTACAACAAGGTCAGGTATGATGTCTGGGAAGATGCCTACAACAAGGTTAGGTGTGATGTCTGGGAAGATGTCTACAACAAGGTTAGGTATGATGTCTTGGAAGATGCCTACAACAAGGTTAGTTATGATGTCAGAGAAGATGCCTACAACAAAGGTTAGGTGTGATGCCTGGGAAGATGTCTACAACAAAGTCAGGTATGATGTCTGGAAAGATGCCTACAACAAGGTTGGGTATGATGTCTGGGAAGATGCCTACAACAAAGTTAGGTATGATGTCTGAGAAGATGCCTACAACAAAGTTAGGTATGATGTCTGGGAAGATGCCTACACCAAAGTCAGGTATGATGTCTGGGAAGATGCCTACAACAAGGTTAGGTATGATGTCTGGGAAGATGCCTACAACAAGGTTAGGTGTGATTTCTGGGAGGATGCCTACAACAAGGTCAGGTATGATGTCTGGGAAGATGCCTACAACAAGGTTAGGTATGATGTCTGGGAAGATGCCTACAACAAGGTCAGGTATGATGTCTGGGAAGATGCCTACAACAAGGTCAGGCTGGGAAGATGCCTACAACAAAGTCAGGTATGATGTCTGGGAAGATGCCTACAACAAGGTCAGGTATGATGTATGGGAAGATGCCTACAACAAGGTCAGGTGTGATGTCTGGGAAGATGCCTACAACAAGGTCAGGTATGATGTCTGGGAAGATGCCTACAACAAGGTTAGGTATGATGTCTGGGAAGATGCCTACAACAAGGTCAGGTATGATGTCTGGGAAGATGCCTACAACAAGGTTAGGTATGATGTCTGGGAAGATGCCTACAACAAGGTTAGGTGTGATGTCTGGGAAGATGCCTACAACAAGGTCAGGTATGATGTCAGGGAAGATGCCTACAACAAGGTAAGGTATGATGTCTGGGAAGATGCCTACAACAAGGTCAGGTATGATGTCTGGGAAGATGCCTACAACAAGGTCAGGTATGATGTCTGGGAAGATGCCTACAACAAGGTCAGGTATGATGTCTGGGAAGATGCCTACAACAAGGTCAGGTATGATGTCTGGGAAGATGCCTACAACAAGGTCAGGTATGATGTCTGGGAAGATGCCTACAACAAGGTTAGGTATGATGTCTGGGAAGATGCCTACAACAAGGTTAGGGTATGATGTCTGGGAAGATGCCTACAACAAGGTTAGGTATGATGTCTGGGAAGATGCCTACAACAAGGTCAGGTATGATGTCTGGGAAGATGCCTACAACAAGGTTAGGTATGATGTCTGGGAAGATGCCTACAACAAGGTTAGGTGT